TGCACAGCCCTGACTCCGGTCTGCCCTGCACCTGCTTCAGACTCACCCACCCAGGCTGAGCAGTGGCAGCAGTGACTGGTCAGAAGCTGCTGCTCAGTGTGGGGGAAAAGCAGCTCCTCCCCTTCGCCGGTTCCAGGCCCTTCTTGCTGAAATCACCCAAAGCTTATGCCCAGGCTGCCCTGTGGCTCCTCTGCACTGCCACCACTGCCTTGCAGGGCAGCTCAGAGGCGACGGTGATGGCAGTGGAGAGGAGCTGCAGGGTAGTCCAGGCATGGGTTCTGGGGGGCTGAAGCAAGAAGGGCCTGGCAGTGGTGAGGGGGAGGGGCCACTTCTCCCCCAAGCTGAGCAGCAGCTTCTGCCTGGCTGCTGCCACTGCTCAGTGCAGGCAGGTGGTCTGGAGCAAGCGTGGGGCAGACCAGGTTCAGGGCTGTGAGTGCAGGTTTCAGCTGGGGCAAGTCTAGAGTGGGCACAGGGCAGACTGGGGCTGGGGTTGGAGCTGTGAAATGTTGGTGGTGACAGGGAGGAGCCACAGGATGTGTGGGCTCCAGGCTGTTGTGGGGGGTAGAGGGGTGGTGCTGACCAGCCCATGGCAGCTCTCCAGAACTGCCTATGCGGCTTGTGGGACCAAATAATTGCCCACCCCTGTATCAAGGTGTCACCATGTAGATCCCCACTGTTAAATCTAACTTTGTGGCAACAAAGCAAAGGTAACGGGAGTAATGCTCTGCATATGAATGAAAAAGTTGTAATTTTGTAGGCAGACAAGGACATTAGAAAGTTGACTGGATTACAGCAACACTGAGGGTCAGGCTCTACTCCACATTTCTTAGGTGTCTAAGTGGAGTTGAGGCACCGAAGTTCTATTGTATCTTGTCCAAGTCCTGAAAATCCATTAATGAATCTATTTTTGAAACACGCCATCATCTTTCCCTCAAAGCTGAGGGTCACAAAACAGTAGTGATGAGAAGTACCTATCAAACTTCTGCATTAACAATTTTTCAAGGTCTTAAGCAGGGTGGAATAGGATTGTACTTAGAGGCCTAAGTTCATGTATGTACTTAAGGTCCCTTCTACATGTGACATTTATGCCACTATTAACATAAATTGCAAAGGTGTTACACATAGACCCAATGTAAAGTGCCATAAAAGAGCAAACCATGCGTAAAAATGTTCTACATATATACTACTGGAATGTAAGCAGGCCCCTCCCACGCGTTTGCAATACCATTTGGGAGAGATACAGCCAATATAAACCAGTTTTATGTCTGGTTTGTATAGTGCCTGAAGCTGAATGGGTAGCAATTAACTGATTGTCAACCCCAGGGCCCAGACCTGCAAGCACCTGGCTTTCAACTTGGCAGCACAGGAGGAACCTGGGATCATGATCCTAGGCTTCCCCTCCACAGGCAAATAGAAAGGGTGGGATTGGGACCTGATCCGTGATCCCAAAATTGTGCCACTTGTCATGTGGACGTGGCTACATTTAGAGTAGAAGAATCTAGCTCAAACAGCCACTGGAATTTTAAAGTAACTAACAAGTTACAAACACTAATAATTAGTACCAGACATACTCCCTAATAGTACTTCTACTACCCCTCCAGCTGCTTTGCTGATCATCACTTCAGTGAGTTGTGGTTCAGTCAATTTACTCTGTTTTATGTCTTATCCTGCATCAGAATACTGGCTGAGGCACCCCACACCTACATTCATGGATATGACAGAGACAAAGTTGGGAGTCACCAGCTTCCCATGCCTAACTCTTTTAACAAGCCTTTATACACATAGAATTAGGGCAAGGAGTAACAGAATGTCTCCCTGCATCTCCCTACTCTTTGACAGCTCTTCCAGGAGAAGATAAATTGCTCAGAATTACATGCTAGACCTCTCCAAGAAAAAGGAAGAAAGCCACTTAAGAGCAGCTGAATCTACTCCCACCAGCATCCACTGGCAAGTTGAGAATGCCTGACCATCAATTGTTTCAAAGGCATTTGAAATATCTAACCATTCCACCATGGACTTCACCAGTGATCTGGAGAAATCACTGACCAATATCACCAAAGTAGTATCTGGGCCCAAGTGAGTTTTCTACCCAGTTTCATAAATTTCAAAGGCATTTAGTACTGACAGAATGACCTTGTCACAATCTTTTTCCCAATCTTACCCAAGAAGAAGAGATGCAATTTTGATCAATTAGCTCATATGAACAGAATATTTTAGCAAAACAACATTAATGGTTCTTTCAAAGCAACAGAAAGTTTGACCCCTAACACAAGTGCAATCAATTCCCACAAGCAGGAAACTCCACCTTTACCCACTGGCTCTACCAGCCAGGAAAGGCATAGATCCAAAATCATTTCCTTATTGCACTGGCAATATGCCACATATGTGAAGAGAGAGATCAACACGAAGATGACCAAATACAAATAAATACTTTTTAAAAGACTGGCTTTTAGTACATTGGAGAAAAAGCTTACTTTGTAGTATTTATAATGAAATTGAAAAATAAGGGTAGTTTCAGAAGGCAAAAGCAAATGTTTTTGCATAATAAATAATTTATCACAGGAAGAAAAACAAATTAACTCCCATAATGGCAATGTATGGCAGATAAAAGCCCACTCTTTCTACTTTCCCCCTTTTTATAATTACATTCTCTTATCTTTTTCTCTTTCTGTAAGCTTTTGCAATTTGATTATTCATTCATTAGTCTGCTTTTGCAATTTGATTATTGTGCTACATCACTCTCATATCTTAAAGAAATAGCCCTTGATAAAGTGCAAAGCAACAAATTAATAAAATAAATGGGAATATTGAAAAAACATGTGATGGATATGCCTGGTGTGTTGCTAAACATGCCAAAATAGGGGTACAATGGAAGAAGGAAAAACAGTGAAAGTGCTAATGCAGCACTTTTCTAATCGTCTAGTACTCTAGTTTTTCTTGTCACATTTTCCTTTATTTCACATGTGCTTTGAGTTTAAAGAATTACCATTTACAAATCAGGACAAATACATTTCATCATGCAAAAATATCTTCTGAGAAGCATCACTTGTAAAATCCTTACCACTTTCTATTTCTTCTTCATTGTCATCCTCTAGGATACTCACAGGAGCAGCTGTTTCCCCAGCCTCCATCATCTTTTTTAAGGCCTCTAATTGTTCTGTTGAAAAAATGGAGAGAAACGAATATACAACTGTTTACTGAGCAGTCCATATCCAGCACTGAACCATTTAAATCATAACACATAAAAATATCCTGAACGATTAGGGGTTATTTCTCACAGTACTGAATTTAACAAGAGCTCTTGATGCTCAATATTAAACAGGATGAGGTCAGCAACAAACATTTATACAAGAACCAAAGAGGCTCAGTACCTTTAGGGATAGCTTGAAAAAGCTGTACAACTATTGGGTTCTTGTTTACAGTGGAAACATTTACACATGCATTTTAATGCAATGCAATAAATTCTGGCACAGTTTGCACCAGAGATTATTGCTCTTGGGCAACAATGCTTACATGTGCACCTGGGACCACAGTATATCGAGCTGGGGGCATGCAGCCCCATCTAGCAGAGGGTCCAGGTGGTCAGTCTGCCAGCCCAGGGCTGCTTCAACCTGGCTCAATGTGCTGCAGAGGGGCTGGCTGGAGCACAAGGGTGCTTCAGTGTGGGGATAGCTGGCAAGCAGTCCCCTGCACTTAAACACTCTTGTGGCCCAGCCAGCCCCATCAGTGTCTACACGTGTGCTGTGGCAGAGTAAATAGTTCTGCCACAGGATAGTACTTTTATCTGGCAGTACAAACCTACGGTGGAGTTAATTAGTTTACTCTGGCCTAACAGCTCTGTAGGTGTAGACCAATGACACTTTACTGTGGAGTAAATTAGGCAACTCCACAGTAAGTATCTCGTGTAGATGCTCTCAGTATTAATAGGTATCTAACTACTTTCATGGGCTGATAAACATTCCACACCTGAGCTGATGTTGTTCCTGAATATAATGGAGAACTGGGGTTTTGAATTCATTTTGTATTGCCTATACTGCTGAAGTCAACAGGAGTTTATCCATTGTTTTCAAAGGAGGAGGGAATAGGGCTTACCATTCTTGGCCATAGTAGAAACCATAACTACCAAAATCATTATTTATGAACAGGAGATAAATGCCAAGAATGGCTACAAAGTAAGAAAAAAAGTCATTTGAGACTTGTTTTTTTTTTTTTATTTTGGCAAAACATGCTAATGAAATACATCCTTCTGTAGGGAGAATTTACTTTGCAACAGCTTCATTGTTACATTTTAGCCAGCAATTATATAACCACCTAATATTACATTTCTACAGTTCTATATATTTATAGCCAGTACTTTTACAAGGGGAGTAAAGCTCTGCCACTGATATGAAACCCAAGTGTAAATAGAATCTTCTTTACAGTCACCATGCTGTATACCCTTCATTTGGACATTATTCATACTGTAAATTCTTTAGGGGAAATGGGGCAATGTGAGGCTGATGACAGACATCCAATTAAAGGTGCAATGGGATATGATCTGTGATCCCAACAATCCACCTCTTGCCATGCCACACATATGGCAGGAGGCACAACTGTGGGATTGCAAATCAGATCCCAATCATGCCCCATTGCTGGTGAATGGGAAGCCTGGGGTCATGATCTACTGATCAGCTGACTGGTACTCCCAGCCTCAGGACTGCACTGGAGTTTTGAAGGACTGTGGTGTGCTCTTGCAGTTGAGAATAGCAATCAACTGATCAACACTAGTCACATATTCAATTTAAGGCACAATGGGAACCAGCCACCAAGTTATTACACATATGTTATGTAACACCTTTGTGGCTTATTACTTGTTTTATCACACCATTCACTGCATGAACCTGTGGCCAGGTTACCACTGAAGATATGATTAACTGGTTAATCACATTTTAAATTTAATGTCTGCCATGGGCCTGACATTCAGTCATCTAAAGGAGATATTTTTGTTTAAATGACAGATTAGATTAATTACTTACTTTTTTCCACTTCGGGTTTCAGCCTTTTGTTTTTTATAAGGATCTTTCTTTTCAGGTCATTAGGGGAAGGTAAGTGTCTACCTGGTTCAAGCTGCAAAAGAAGAAAAGTTTATTAAGAATAATTTGTGGTGATCTAACCACTTTATCCATACATCTGGGGTGGTCTTTTAATGTTTGGCATGGCCTGTGGCTGTGAGGCTGTGAGGAAGCAGCACCACTAACCCTGGACTGAATAGCTACAGCTAGTCAGCATACCCCCATATCAGCAAAACTGTTGGAACTTTTTCCATTCGCTCCACACCTCCAAGAAGAAGGGAGCAAGTACTATACACTTATTGCCAAAGTCTGGGTGTCTCGGAGATGTACATATTATGGGAGTTCCTCCCCTTTCTCCCAGGCTTTGTCACAATCTACCCCTTTATTATTTCTCCTTCTAAATAATTCACCTCTTATGCTCCACTGAGGCAGTAATATACAATACTGAAATTATTAAATGATTTCTTTCAGATTGGGAAAGGAGAGAAATAATATCTGACCATTCCTCATTCCCTCTCTGAGATGGAAAAGAGCAGAGAACAGCATTATCTGATACAACCACACTACAGGAGTACATATTTGGGTGTTACAATAGGCACTGCCTCAGGGTTGGGAGGAGGAAGAGCAAAGAAACTATCACCTAGAACTGAAGTTGGAAGGGTCTAGGTCTTACAGTGAGGGAAGAGTGAGTTGGCGCTGGAAGATACAGGCCAACATAGGAAGGAGTCTTAGAGCAGGGCACAGAACTCTTGGCATACCCACATGCCAAATATTTAGTCTCTATGGGCACCTTTACACATTCAACGCGGCTGCTCTGATGTACTGTAATCACAGCATGTCGGAGCAGACTTGATTATCGCACTCCAGCAGATTCCACCATCTTGTGTATCAGTGTCCTTGCACCCAAAAATGGTGGCAGGGACACTTTAACTAAAGCTAATTTGACAAGCTTTAGTTAAAGCACCCTGCTGCCATTTTTCAGCGCAGGGATGCTGATACATGAGACACTCTGGGTGCTTTAATTACTTTGGCCCAGAGCACACATATAAATGCCCTATTAGTAGAATTTGAATCAACTCAACTCTATTGTTGCTGAAGACCACAATCAAGAGGCTCTGAGAGAAGCAACTATCAACCCACCATGCCCTGAAACCCAAATAGAAGGAGAAGAAACTAAAGGTGACAAACAATACGTGGAAAAAATAGCAATTGGTGCAATTACCTTCCACATTAACACTCATTTTCCATTTTAATCCAGTTAACTGAGTCATCCATTATTCCTAGCAATGAATGTATTTTAATGCCACTAGATGTCAGTATAAGCAGGCTTCATTTATTTCCCTTGGCTCTACAATGTCAGTGTTCAATTAAAAGCAACAAGCTTAGGACAGATGTCCCCTGGGGTATCTGCCTGAATTTAAGAGTGAATCTACTTCAGCCAGCTTGAGACCCCTTCTCAAGTTTGCCTTACAGAAAAAAAACATCAGAGACATGGAAATGCTCATTATGAAAAATGAGTTCCAATGTTGCACCAGATTTTTTTGGCAATTTTTAAAAATAAGAGTATGTAGAGGCAGGGCCAAGCGATGGTTAGAGCCAGCCATGCGTGAGAAATGTGCTTAGGGATATACCTGTCATATGCAAGAGAAAAGAAAAAAGCCAAACCATGCAGGATGATGTCACGAAGGTGGGGTAGCCAGAATGTATAAGGGATGGTGCTGAGAAGGTGAGGAGAAAGGCCCTTCTCTCTTCCTGCCTTTTCCAGCAAAGTGATGCAACAGGTAGCACTAGGTCACCACTGGCACTGATCCATGTAGGAGTACTAGATGATTAACCCTAGAATGAATATTGGTGGGCCATGCCTCTGAAGGAAGGTCTGCTTCACCATTTGCTAGATTTTCTTGGCATGCACTAATCAAAATGCTTGCAAACTCCACCAAATTACACTAGTCCTCCTGTAAAGCTTGCAGCAGCAAGAGCAGCTAAATCAGTTCTTAATTAAGCATAAGATTAAAGAGGGAAATTAAATAAGAAGCACCAGCTGCTCCCCAGTTAAGATCAGGCACATATGACTTTGTACCAGTGACTGCGATTTCAGAAAAACATGAGGCAAGCAAATGTAATACATTTAAAACATTTTTCATGGGAGCTAGCATTATAAAACAGGGCAAAGGGACAGGGATCCTCAAGCCTCTTGACAGAGCCCCGTAGAGAGGAAATGAAAGAAGTCACATAAGGCCAGGCTGTGCATCCAAAAACAGGGACACTCAACATCAGTAGCTGTTTGAAAATGTAGATGTATGCAGGATTTTACACTAATGGTGAGTGATCCCAATCTACCATACCTCTGAATTTGTGTGAGAGAGAGAGTTTTTAAAGATACATACTGGGTGTGTTTCTAAAGGTTGCTTCAACAGGAGATCTCCAAAAAGATCTTCACAGTATTTTGACATCTTGTACTGTTGGTATTTGCTGAAAAAAGTGACATTGGTTAATTATTAAAATGGTTTAAAAATAGTTGTTATTCAGTAAATAAAGTTACCAGAGAAGGAATGAAAATTTTTCATATTTTATGCTGCTCACTTTGGCCAGGATGACAAGCATTATTTTAAAATACAGTAAGTGCCTGTAAAAGTCTAACTAATCACTGAAAAGCATGAATTTATTTGGACTACTGGAGTGCATGAACTGACTGAAAGCCATTCTGCTAATGTGACATTCAAATATACTTCACTGCTTTTCTGCAGATTTAAACACTATGTTATTAAAACAGCCTAAAGCTTGACCTGGCATTAAAGCAAACATTCATAATCTTTTCAAAGTGACATCTAATCTAATTCATTTGCATAGTCCTGCACAATGTTTCCAAGTACATTTGACTTTTAATATTTTGAGCTTTATCGTATGTTGGATCTTTCCTTCACCGCATTATTAAAAATGGAAGAGAAGTGCAGTGTATACCTGCAATGATTTTCAAATGAAAGGATGACAGGATATTCCGATGTAACAAATGCAGTTTCTTTAATGGCTTGAATCACATCCTTTAAAATGTAAAGAAAGGTTTAATGTCAAATAAAGCTGCAATCAGGATTAGAAATATCTCATACAAATTGAAGAGGAGAGTATCTATAATAGATTATAGTAAGGACAAACACATGACAAAACATGCAGATTTTTCATCTCTACTAATTCCCTGAATAACAATGGACTATATGCCTGAAAAATTCTCTCTTCACATGAGAAAAGGCAGTGGCTAGAGCTACAACCCACCCATACTTTTCTGAACAAAAGGAACTGATCTGTCAGAGAAGACAATTTTGGCTAGAGGATCAACTCCCTGTCCCTTCCACGGGTAAGGGGGACTCCCAGAGCTGGTGTTGTTTCTGTTGGAAAAGAGAGACTTCTGGGCTAACTACAGACATTTAGGGAGATTAATGGCCTAAATGGTTCAAAATGATCACCCGATTTAAACTCAGCTTGTCCTGGTGCTAACCTTACACTTACAGACCGGCTCTCAGTGACCAGCAATCAGTCTAAACTGGTAACTGTACAGAAGTTCCATGCACACAGACCAGTCTAAAAATTGTAGAATCTGGTTTAAGATAAACCTGGATCTATATAGCATCAAAACGTATTCAATGTAGGTTAAGCCAGTGCAAAGAACTTCTGTACACTTTCCCTGAGCAGCCCTGGGGCTGGGGAAACCCAACCACTAGACCCAGCTCCAGGGCTGCTCTTTTCACTCCCCCCCCACCCCTGCACTGGGATTTTTTTTACCCCCATGGCCCATTTTCCTCCCCCCACCCCACCCCTGACCAGCCAGCCCTCTCAACCCCATCCCACAAGCCACTCTGGGTGCAGCCGCTTTTGTCAGCATTCACTGTTGCTGAAGCCAAGCAAGTCAATTCGAGGGGGTGGGAAGGGGAAGAGGCGGAAGGGATGGGGATGTAGGCTTGCTGGGGAGGACCCAACCCCATCAGCAGGTCATGCCTGCTCTCTCCAGTACACTTCATGGGTGGCACTTGCCCCTGCCCACCCACCCACAGGTCGCGCCAATCCCAACCTCCCCTCTCCCCCTGCAGGTTGCATCTCCCTCCCACCCCACCCGTGGACCACACTGGCCCCTCTGCCCCATCCAGGGGTCATGCTAGCCCCAACCACCCCACCTGTGGGTCACGCCTGCCCCCTACCACTCATGGGTCGTGCCTCCTTCACATCCCCCGGTGGACCACCAATCCCCTCCAGCCTGCTGGACCCCTAACCCCCCTGCTAGCACCTCCATCCTGACTAACCTGATATGGAGCAGCCATTTCGATCCGATTCAACCTCTCCCTAATGCCCCCAAATGTCTGCACTTAGCTCTGAAGAGATTGCGCAAGGGGTCTGAATGGGTTCTCTTTATGTTTTCATATGGAGAGACCAAGGCAAACAGTTAAGCGATTTGGATAAAGGACCCATTATTATGTGGATGATTCAAACCATTAGAATAGGGGTGGGCAAAATACAGCCCGTGGCCCAGATTTGACCTGCCAACTGACTGGATCCAGCCCACAGCTGCCACCAGGGCACTCTGCATAGGTCTGAGCCCAACCTGCTCCCACAGGGGCAGCCCACACCATACTCCCATCTGCCGGCCCAGGCCCCAGCCAGCATGCACAGCTTCTGATGTTGTTCCTGGTATTGCTCTGCTCCCCTTGCCTTCAGTGCAAACCGCCTGACCACAGCCTCCCCCCGTCCTGCCTGTCTGGAGAAGCGCAGCCAGGGCAGGAGTGGGAAGAGGAGCTGCCGTTGGAGGCAAGGGGAGCAGAGCAGCACCCAGCCAGCTGCAGCCACACCAGGAAACTGACCCTCCAGATGCTGCATGCACTGGCCAGGGCCCAGGCCAATGGGGCTGTTCTGCTCCCCTTAACTTCAGCAGAGGCTCCTCCTCCTGCTCCTACCCTTGCTGTGCCGCTCCAAGTGGCAGGGAGCTTCAGTCTGGCTAGTTCTGCCTCAGCATGCAGGGCTGTGGCTTCAGTTCCTGGTTGTCTTTGACCTGCTCCACCCACCTGGCATGATGAGTGGTCACCTGCAGCCGAGCAGAGCAGGTGGAAGTTGGTCAGGAGCTGGAGCCTTGCACGCTGGGGCAGAATTCACCAGGTTGAAGCTTCCCCCTACCACACACTCAGAGTAGTACACCAGGGGCAGGAGCAGGAGGAGCAGTGCCCCTGGAGGCAAGGGGAGCAGAACAGCCCTGTCGGACCAGGCCCTGGCCAGCGTGCAGCTTCCGGTGGGGCTCTTCCCAGTGCGACAGGAGATAGGAGTCCCTCTCTGCAGACCTTCCCAGTTTGGGAAATGAAAGGTGAGAAGGAGGATTTGCACTTAATTCCAAATTTTTAGATCCCTCTTTGCACACATATTGATAAAATTTACCTTGAAAAGAATATCTGTACACATTGCTTTTCCATGTGTTATTATTGGTTCTTGATCTTCACCTTTCCCATCCCAACAATCCAGTTCAACACATCTAATAACCCAAAAAATACCATGTCAACTTTCTCAGCATTTAAATAAATACATACACTATTCAGTGTATTCAATAAATGTATTGTATTCAATAAATAGAGAAATAGAGAAAACCTAGGCAGTCAGTCAAGTGCAGGTGCAGAAGCTAGAGTGAGTTGTAATTTTAGAAGTGATACAATCAGCTTGAGAGGAAATGTATGTAATGCACCAGCTTATTATCTCATCATTTCACTTTGATTTGATAACTCTGGACTTACTATGTTAAAAGTAAAGTGTGCAAGAGTGTACAATATTTGAGTAAAAAATGTTTTTTCTTCACCTTCACACTCCTTTATTTATTCTCTCAACAGGTAAATTTTTACTTATTAGTGCACAGGAAGTTAAACTGAAAGTTACTGGTTGGTTTTCCTATAAATCTAGATGGACTTAATTACATTAATTAATTAGACTGATTAATTAAATGCCCTGAAATGCAGAATTTTGCACTTGGGCAAAGAGACACCCGCTTACACTTTTCCCACATGCCTCCCTACACATATGTGGTGTAACAGCCAACAGGCTGCCCTTTCTCTCTGTTTTCTGCAAAATAAAGAATTTATAATGCTATCATAATGTTTATATTTCTGTTAATCTTTCTGGTATATTATAATCAATGCTGAGGTTGACACTGTGTACACTGAAATATTTTAAACATGATGTTTATAAGCCATTATATTCTCCTTCCAACCTGCATCCAGCCAACAGCACTTGTCTGTACATCTCTACCGAAGACTTCCCTCCAAACTGCCTGCCTGTTAGATATGTATTGTGGGAGGAACTGATGAAGTAGTGAGCCAGAGGATGTTCCATTTCTTGGTATAATTCCAAGCGGTCTAAAAAGACTGGGGCATTTTCATCAGACATCAAGTATCTGCAAAATCCATCACTTGATATGACACCTGGAAGGAAAGCAAAAATGCACAAGTTAGTGTAATAGTCAGATAAGGTTCTTTGGATAAATTCGGTATCTTTAAATGTTAGTATAATTTTCTTTAAACTTGAGATTCTATGTCTTTCAAAACCCCAAATGGCTGAAACACTTTTGATGTTCCTTTTTTCTCTGCTTTGTGCTTCATAAATTATAGCAAATAACGAGACAGATTATGGTATAAATAAGATCAGAATTTACCCCTGAAAACAACTTATATAGGGGTGTCAGCAAACAGAGTTAATCTTCTGAACACTTGCATTAAATAAATATATTTGGAATCAATTTGGAACTTATACCGCTTAATATCACAGTTTGGAGCCCCATTTTTGGCAAAGCACATGTTGCAACAGCTTCAATTTTATCTTGTTTATCATGACCTGTCTTTTCAAATAGTGAACCCACAATGCCTTCCATTTTTACTTGCTCATAACTTCCGGAAAAAAGTTATACTTGGTGCTTAAATATTTTGTGTTAGTTCTCAGTCAAAGGTGAATCATATGGAAAACTCTGATGCAAACCACTTCCCCCACAGACAGTACATCTGTGGGGGAAAGCCAAACCCTAAAACCTACATTCTCTGCTTAAGACATGAGATTCTTTCCCCTCCCTGCCATCTCCCAAAAGGAATGAAGAATAGCAGAAAAACATCTTGAAGGATGGCATATGGTTCATCTAAAAAACAATGACAGAAAAAAAAATCATGATGGGGAAAGCATGGTAAATATTTACAAGGGCTTTAATAAAGAGGCTGATCTACCCACAAGCAGCAATGCCAAAAGAAGAAGACTCTAGAGGTGCTCTTCTCTGGAAGAAGATGTGTACTGAACTATTCATTTACTGTAGAACACAAAAAAGAGGGGGTAGTTATTCCTTACTGGGCATGTCTACACAAGACGCTTTACTGGGCAGCAGACTAATTTTCAGTGCAGTAAAGCATCACCATCTACACATACATGGCAATTAGGGCACAGTAGACTAATTTACTGTGCAGCCAGATGGCAGCACAGTAAATTACTGCGCTTAAACACATGTGCAGATGGTAATGTTGGGATTAGTTTACTCTAGCTCAAAGTGATCCAGAGTATATTCAGTCACACTAATTGCACATGTAGAAGCACCCACAGTTCTAACAACTGATCCTTTACTCTTGCTGCACAACGGTTGAGGTAGAACTGCTATCGTACAGTGAATGGGGTCTCACTTCCCCATATGGTGCCATCCCATGCTCAAGTATGCTGCTGAACTGAGGCTTCAATAGGAGCATTAGACTGCACAGAACAGCCACCAGAAATCCTAACTTCCACTGGGTGCTACCATCAGCTTCTCTATAACTCTTAATTCCAGACGGATAAAACCTTTATGAAATCACTGTGACAAGGAGCAGGCCACTGATTCTCAACCACAATGCCACTGCACCCTTGGGTGCCTTGAGATCTTTTCAGAGGTGCCACAGGATGCCACACAATGTTAGCACTGTTAGGTGTGCAAACATGTTTCACAACATAAACCCAGAGTGTTAAGCATTCTGACCTGTTGTGGTTTTTCTGAGGTCTTTGCAATAGGAGTATTAATCAATTATTTTTCTGTAGTCAAAAATCAAGTGAAAACTAGGCACTGACATTTTCCAAGGGGTTCCTCAAGTCTAACAAGGCTAGGGACCACTGGTGTAGGCCCTTTAAGAACCCAGAAGATGCAGCTAGCCTTGCTTGCTGTTGAGGTACAGGTGGAGGAGATCTGGCCACTGGTGAGTCTCCAGCTGAGAGCATTAAAAAGGCTAGCTGAAAGAAAGCAAGGAGGTAGGAAGGATCTTGTGGAGGCTGGAAAGGTCTGATAGCTTGAGGGGAGAATGGCCATAATTTTTGTTTGTTTCACTTGCTTTGCTGAGAGGACGTTAAATAAAGGACCTGTTTGGAACTTGGGAAGAAGGGTGGCTCACAGTCACCATGCTGGTGAGGAAACAACAATTTGGAAGAAACAAACCATTTCTTATTCTTCAAGAGGAGACTGGATAGGCACCTGGCTGGGGTCTTATGACCCCTCCCACCCCCAGTGCTCCTTCCTGCCCATGGCGGGGGGTCGGACTAGATGATCTGTCTAGGTCCCTTCCGACTCATTGATTCTATGATTCTTTCTGCATCTGGCTACAAAACAACTGAACTATTAACTGGAAAAACAATTAAAACAGTAATAAGCTCAAGTCATTACCATCACCCAATGGCTAGCTAAAAGGATTAATGGTTAGCATCCATTTCTGGACACAGTGTAAGGGTTGTAAAATCCTTGTCTTTTCAGTGTACCAAAACTGAAGGAGTTTAGTTTTCTCCCCACTTAAAACTTGGGTGCACAATCTTTCATTTTGGAAGGAATATCTCCACTGTACCTTGTATATTTTGGGAAGATATTTGAAAGACGCTGACATTTTAACAGGACACAGACACAGATTAGATTGAATAGCAGTGGCAGCCTCCTTTTCATATAGTAAATTAAATGAGTTTGGCCTCTAGGGACTTGGACACTTAAAAATTCCAATGCAATGACTATAGAAAAAGAGAAGAATGGGATTCCAGGGTGTCTTAAGACTGATTTATTGTAAGAAGTATGCTACTCTTGATGGGTTGCCAAAGCAGTGCAGGAAGGTTTCTCCTCCAGTACTTGGGCATTACGGAGAGGCTGTCTCCTCACAGGTTCTAGATAAGCAACAACAATGTCTTGCTATACATTGTCTGATGCAAAGACAGTGGTATGAACTAAGAGCCCTGCCCAAAGCCATCTGACGAAGGATTACTATGAGGCAAGAATCAAGGAAAGCAACTCTAAGACTACAACCCAAGGGCCCCTTTATAAGCCCTGGTTGGAGGAAGCATGCCAGGGGCAGGAGCACAGCTGGAAGCAATGCAGCTTCTGTGCAGTACTGTGAGCTGCAATGACCCCAGCTAGACTGTTGTAAGTTAGAGAAGCCCCCAGGACTAAGTTATGCTGTCAGCCTCTTCAATTCCCAGAAAGATCTGAATTAGAAGGGTCTAAATGTGTTGTTGCTATATGATTTTGATCTTGGGGTTTTATATTGTTGCCCATTTCTACAGTATTGGAATGCCTAAGTGAGTAAACAGGAGCACAGGGGAGCATTTTCCAAAGTGCCTAAAGCTATGGACAAGAATGCCTTGCCAGCAGCCTCTCCCTCCTCACTTCCCCTCCCCTACTGAAGCACTTCAAGACTGCTATGTGCTTGGCTGTCTCTGGCATGCAAAGAATTTTCCTGGTAGGAAAGCAGAAATCCTTGCAAGCCTCTTGGCCCCTGGTCCTCTGAAGGACCAAGCACAGCTGAATGCACAGAAGGAAGTTCACTGGCTGTTTGCTCCGCTTTTGTGCCCCGGGTGGTGGATGAGAGGTCAGGGAGCAGAGCACTACGGGATGCCAGACGACCAAGTAACCCCCTGTGTACAGGCATTTTCAGGAAGCTCTTCAAAGGTGTTCCTTGTTTTCTGAGCATCATTTTTAAAGCGCCTCTTTTGCCATGCATATCAGTAAGCTCAGTGTTTGAAGTACTTCAAGCATTATGTCTATCTGTGCCTAAATGGCATTTTTGTTCCACAGGCACGTAGACCACTAAATAGCTTACTCAATTTTGACAATGTTAGCCAAGTCTCTAAAGAAATATGATGATAGATTTTTATATGCAGATTCCTTTTCCCCCATACAAACACTTGTTTACCTTTACTCTTCAAGTCTTCATCTGGCTCATATGTCTCAATTATCTGCATTGCTCTTTTTATATCATAGAATGGAAATAAAATTTCATTCAGTCGTGGATCTCGTTGATGCTAAGATTAGAAAATGACAGAATTCAGCATGACTATATAATGCATGACTATTATTCAAGAATGTT